GTACCGGGCCCCTAGTCTATATAATAAAAGCCTACTGACTGTTATGGCAGAACAACTGGAATAACCAGTCACTATGATGCACACTGACCACCAGGGGGCAGATGCTTAATGTAGGAGTTGCCCCCCTGGTGGTCAGTGTCATCCCACAGGGGGAGCGCTGCTCAGCCAGAAGCCATGCTCATGGCTGGCGAGCGCAGCAGCAGTGGCGAGAGCCCCTCCTGCCTCTGCAGCAGTGCTGAGGAGCAGCGAGCACAATCAGTAAAGAGCAGTGAGCAGGCAGGCAGTAAGGAGCGAGGAATTCCAGACTGTGAGAGGAAGCAGGCCAGGCTGAGGGACTCCCCATTCCTAGTGCATGAATGTTGTGCACTGAGCCTCTAGTATTTTATATTCTCTTAACAGACACCAGAACTATTTGAGGGGTGTATTCTATTAATAATTACTACTAGTCGCTTTTTATTAAAATAATACAGCAAAACTACTAATTAGAATTTTTATTAACCAACCAACACTTCATGGTAATTACATGTGGAAAATGAAACATGGGAATAATTCTTTAGTATTATACTATTCAAAGTGAAAATCAAATGGAGCCAGGTCCTCCTAAGGCTTGCTATCTCAAGTTTCCAAATAGATTAGGTTTTATCAAGGAAGTACTACCAAGATAAAAGAGTAACACTAAAATTCTGAAAGAAAACTGAAAAAAGTAACTTCACTACTATACAAAAAGATAAAGAAACAGTAAGTTTTCATCTGATGAGCAACATTCAGCTTATGACATTAAAAGTACAACTGGTCACAACTTCTTATGAGCCACAACCTTGATAGAAATTCAAAAATTACAAATGTATATTTCCCCCAAAAGCCATGCCAGCTGTATTTCAAGTCAGTCTCAGCAATAAGATTGGTGCTCAGACTAAGAAACATGCTAACCAATGAACAAATGTTCTTGAACTATTATGCAAGTTGGAGATACTTACTTTAGTCTTATGATACTGGGGTTTATGGTCACAAGGTTAGTTTTACTGCCAACATCTTTACTAACATTTCCTGTTGTTGGGGGAAGGTTACACCTGAAATTTTGAAGAAATTATTTTCAAAATACAACTTGAAAAAATAAAATACATACACACAAATACATTCATACATATGTGATTACTGTCATTTTTTTTAATTTATTAAAGTTATTGGGGTAAAGCTTGTTCATAAAATTACACAGGTTTCAGGTGCACAATTCCACAACACATTATCTGTACATATTTTTGTGTGTTCACTACCTCAAGTCAAGTCTCCATCTATCACCGTTTATCTGTCCTACACCATCCTCCACCTCCCCTGCCCATTACCGCTTTTTTTTTTTAGAAAATCATTGATGTTAAGATTCCTCAGATTTCATCCAATTTACATTGAAAACTATTTAATAAGTGCTGAACTCTTAATTGATTCAACATTGCATATAATATACAAATTTGAAAAATGATTTCAACATTGATTAAGACCTTTATAAATAACAATACTAGAAATGACAATTAAATCTTGCCTAGCTATTGAAGAGTGCGTTGGAGCTTGTTAAAAACTAAGTCACCTGGAAGCTAACTTTACAAATGAGGTAATGAGATGTGACAGCGAGGGAAGGGCTACATCCAGGCCCATGTCCATTAGAACACTTGGGGAGTGTGCAGGAGGCAGCTGATCGATGTTTCTCTCTCATCAATGTTTCTAATTCTCTATTCCTCTCCCTATCCCTTCTCTCTGTAAAAAAGTCAATAAAATATATTTTTTAAAAAAATAAAAAAATTATAATCTCCTGATTCCCATATGGATAGTTTTCCCACCAAATTATGCTGTTAATAAATAAAATTCTAATGTTCTTATAATGATGTTTAGTACTCTTCTGAGTACTAATTTTCTTTAAATTGAAAAACAAATTAAAATTGTAATTTTGAGTAATTCTATTCCTGTCACACAAAAAAGGGAAAGTTAGTTATGACTCCCTAAGTATCATTTACAGAATTTCAAGTAGACCAATTCTTTAAAACTATACATTCAAAGGGAGCATCTCTGGGCATTTCCTTAAGGAAGGCTACTGAAAGTTTATGCGTTCTGAGGAATGAATGAAATTGAAAATCCTATTACATGCTCTATTAAACACATAAACAAATGTAACATGCACTTCCCACTTTGATAAAAAGATTTATCTGAAAACAATTAAATATAGCACTTTGGAATAATACTAATCATAGATAAAAGATCAGCAATGACCTCATTAGTGGGGCTTCCTGTAACAAATCTACTTCCTAGAACAGTCTCATATTCTGTTGAAGAATAAAAGGTAATTTTCACATACAATAGTATCAAAGGAGAGTTCTAGAGGAAATATTGGGTGATATATATAGATATATATATTAAGGGGATGAAAGCCAGTCATCCCCTATCTTTGCTCCTTACAGTCTTAACTTGTAGCTCCCAATCTTTTAAAATGAAAACAAAGTAATAATAAGCACTTGCCAGATTGTTTTATAAAATGTACATCCAAAATAAGTGCAGGCTTAAAAATTAAATACATTTTAATGACACCAATCAAGTCTAGCTCTTATTTTTGCCTTTTGCTTTGAAAGGCAAACTTCAAAGGGAACTCTCTATGCAGAAAGATGCCTGGCATCAGCAAATATGGACTCTAGAAATACATGCATTATTTTAAAGTTATAAATTAAGTAACTGCTGAGATTTTAAAAACTAGATTAGTATATATTTATCCTATATTTGCATAAAGTCAAATGGATGTTTAGGCATGATACCACAGATCTTTTGGGAATTTTAAGTTTATAAAAAGTCTTTTACAAGAATTATTTATCTTCATGATGGCTTTTTTAGTAAAGAGTACTTTAACCAAATGGCTAAGTCATTCAGATATTGGCTATTTTAACATTCATTATGAGGAACACACCCATTAACTGTTGAACTGCTGGGTCTGTTTTTCTGTCATGACCTTCAGCATAAAAATTTTAAATGAGATTAAAGCGAGGGAGGAACTACAGATCACATTTTTTTAAATTTGTTAAAAAGGGGCAGCACTGAATTGATAAGGATCAAAGGATCTCCTCTGAGGTATAAAATTAGTGTTCCTGAAAGAGGAAAACAGATTCCAATTTACTGTTTTTTAAGTGTATAAGGCAATGACTTTATTTCTATTTATTTATTTATTTATTTTATTAAACATTTTTAATGTTTCCATAATTGCAGGTGTCACCTTTTTCCCCACCCTTTGCCCACCTCTTTCCACCCCCACCTCTCCCTCCCTTGGCCTTCACCAAACTAACCCATGGCCAGGGTGTCTTCCCATGCACCAAAAGGTCGCTGGTTTGATTCCTGGTCAGGGCACACGCCTGGGTTGTGGGCTCGATCCCCAGTATGGGGTGTGCAGGAGGCAACCAATCTATGTTTCACTCTCACATTGGTCTTTCTCTTTCTCTCTCCCACTCTTCCTTCCTTTCTTTCTAAAAATCAATAAAAGTATGTGTATATTTTTAAAAGGTGCATTTCAACTGTAAAAAGGTGCATTTCATCAGAAAGGAATGAATCACCTTTCCTTCATATTCTGAAAGTAGAGATATCCTGTAACATGGTTTATGAATACAGGCACACATGGAAACCACTTTAGTTTCTATTTTTGCAAGCTAGCTGGTACTAAGATATAAAGATCTTAAAAGAGCATAATTTAGAAGCTGCACAAATTTTTTAAATTTCAAGTCAGGAAACTAAATAAACAATAGTATTGCATGGCTATATGAACAGTGCCCAGTTCAGCATTTTCTCAAGTATTATCTGGGAACAAAACTTCCTTGAAAAGCTCTTTAAAAAAAATACACAAAAAGGCTTTTTTTTAAAGCCTGGGTGAACCTGGGAAATGCTGCTCCATAGCGTCCTCTCAAGGAGCCATGAAATCCTTAATATACTGAAGGCTCTGGCAAGTCCTGCAGTGCAGACCCTCTTTCACCATGATTTCACCCAGAGCTTCTGAAAAGTAAATTATCACAGAACGTTTGTATCCTTCTAGTATCCACGTTCAGAAGAACTAATGATCCATTTAACACTGCAGGAAAGCCTATCAAAATCATTTGTTGTCTGAGCCCTGACTGGTTATCTCAATGGTTAGTGTCTACCGCCCAGACCAAAGGATCACAAATTTGCTTCCTGGTCAAGGGCATGTACCTGGGTTGCAGCTTTGATCCCTGGCCCAGGTCGGGGTGTGTGTGTGAGGCAACCAATCGACATGTGTCTCTCACATCAATGTCTCTCTCTCTCTCTCTCTCTCTCTCTTTCTCCTTCCCTTCCACCCTCTCTAAAAATAAATGGGGAAAAAAATATCCTTGGGGAGGGTTAACAAAACAAGCATTTTTAAAGAAAAAACTCCTCAAAAGAAATAATACTAATTAATAATAATAATTTGTAGACTTAAACAACACAGCTCAAAATTTACAGATTATCTTTACACAAATCCTGTAAAATATCCAACTGATCTTTGGTTTAAAAAACTCAGCTGAACAGGTCTTACCTAAAAACGAAGTCAGATTTATCTATTTCAGCTCCGCAGAGAGACTTATTCAGAATCCCCCCATTTCCAACCACGGCACACTGATTGTAAGGGCGCTCCACAAAAGGCTGCGACTAGCAAAAAAAGTGAAAACTACCATGAAACAGTTTTATCTCTAGAACCATAAACATTGTCAGCTTAATTCAAGTAGCTTAATTTTTATGCATACTATGTAAAGAAGAACAAGAAAAAGAGAAGTAGTAGTACCATAACATGTTGATCAACTTAAGACTTCCAATAAAAAATCTCCTGAACCTGTTCTTTTTCTGGAGAGAAATATACAGCGTATCACATACAATGTAATGTAATAATACACAACATATTTGTAAATAAAAATACAATGCAGTTTACATCACATAATTAAATAAAATGAGAATAGCAAAATCTTATATTTTCAGCAAAAAAAGAGAGAAAAAGGCAGTTGGAAAGTAGTGTAAAATCCACTATTCTGGGAAATAAAATTAATAGCTAATTTAGCAACATCTCCTGTGCTTCTTAAATAGTTAGGCCTTCAGGCTCGGCGACGACGGGAGATGTATGCCTGCCATCTCCGCAAGTGACCAGCCACGGCATTGCAGGAAGGCCTCCTCACCCTGTACTCACATATTTCACATTAATTTCCCAGGCCTGAATCTTTTAAAATTTTTCCAAGGACCCAGCTTGCGTACCCCGAAAGACTCCCATGGTCACCAAACCCTCCCCAGGCTGAAGCATAACCTTTCAGTGCAACACTACGCTTTGCTGGTCACTTTCCCTGAGGAACGGTGCGACCCTGACCAGCAGCAAGGGTGCCCGTCCATATTCTACAGTGACTGGGTCTTCATTCACTTACTTTTTTTCTTTAGAATTTGAGTGTGAGTCCTCAAGGCAGAGAGTGTGTTTATTACATGTCATTGTTCCTCAGCTTTCACTGCAGGCCTAGCACAGTGCAATGTGTGCAGCGACCTTTAAATAAGTGCTTGCTGGCCCAGTGTCCCACCTGGTGCAGCCCCCCCTCCCATCCCCCACCTCCCCGCATTGAGCTGAAGCTCACTTGTGAGGAGCTTGTGAGCGCCAACTGGTAAATATTCAGGAATTGTGTGTGGGTTGTTAAGCCACTGGTAAGTTAAAATCGGCCATGGTGAGGGTGTTTACATCTCTACTAGTTACATCGGCGAGTGCTGCAAGTGAGGGCGCCCACTCCCCAAAGCCAGTTCACCAGCACTACTAGCCGCATGCCAGGGGCCAATGTGGTCTGGGCAGCACAGCAGACCCTGAATCACGGTGACGGCCATCTCTTCCTGCCGGTGCCCCCCGGGAGATGCCTCACAAGCAAAGACCACTCTATCTCAGCGCTTCTAGGTTTGTCTTTAAAAATTAAAAATCAGAAGGTGCTTATTATGCAAGGCAACCAAGTGCATCGCTTGTTAAGGCATTTGGGCCACACAACAACAGCACAAGCATGTTACAGATGGGAAGCTGGTGGCGTGCGTTAAAGCTAGAAAGTGGCAGAGCTGGGATTCAAACCCAGGCAATCTGTGTCAGCGTCCCTGCTCTTAACCCGTACACATCACACAGGTCCTCACATCCAATGCCTAAGACACGTACATGCATGCCTTTTTTCTCTTTATATCCCCAATGCCTAGCAGAGTGCCTGGCTTTTGAATGAGTAGCTCCCAAATATCTCAGGGTATTTTAAGTCACTAAACTTCTGGCTCAAAATATTTTAGGATAGTGTTTACTAACCGGCATCACAATAAATTCTGAATTTTATAGACAGAGTGGAAGGCAAATATGCTCTTTATGCCACAATAGAAGAGATTGCTGAGGGAAGCATATCTCCAATTAAGCAGTCAAAATAACGTATGTTTTTCTCTGGCTGTTTGGTCAACGGGGCGGGGGCGGGGGGAACAACCATATGCTTTGGGACCTCTATATTCAGGAAGAGTTTAAATAAATTACAAACATCAACATTCCCTAACTTACACCTCCCAAGAAAATGCCAATTTGCCCAACTCCAGTGTCTGCACATTGCTCACTTGAGTTGAAAAGCAACTTTGTTGTCTTCCTTTGCAAGTTACTTAGCAAAGTTTTTGGAGAAAGTTAACTTCACCACATTTAATCAAAAGCAACTACTGAGATCTCTGTGTTGCCCAGGCAGTTCTGAGCTGAGTGCAGCCGAGCAGAGCTGAGCAGGGAAGACAGGCAGGAAGCAAGGTGGGAGAGAAGCCAGGTCCCCCAGGAGTCATTGCCATGGAACCCGGATGTTTAAACAACCACAAAAACACCTGCTACCTAGCTTTGCAATTGTTACTGAATTGACTTCAGAAATTTCTCCTCCTAATTTTAAAAAAATCAGTTATAAATTTGAAAAGTGAATGTTGCTAATTGCATACTGAATTATCCAGCCTGTGTCAAGTTATTTTTTTGAAGGTGCCAATTAGAAGCAAGAAAACCTCCCGTTCCTCTGTTCTGGTCAGTCTCAAGCAAAAAAAACCCCAAAACAAAAAAAACCCAAAACACACTAGCAAAAATTGCATGGGGGAAAGGATTGCTCCTTGGAGAACTCTCCCCAGCCTTCCAAGATAGGGAATATAAATATACTTTAGTTATTATCTTTTCAATTACTGGTGTTCCAGTGCTTCCTGAGGGTGTTGTAGAATGTTTTACGCGTTATTTTTTTTGCCCTCCTTTGCGTCCAGAAAATGTGTAATATTTTTTCCTACTGTTTTCTGTTTATTCCCAGAAAATTATTTTTTTCGAATTGTAATAATTAAAAAAAATTGGAGCAATTTATATGACAAACAATAAATTAGCTGTAAGAAGTCAAAGGTTCAAAAAATAATTGTAAGGATCTAATAGTCTATAGTTGGTAAATTACCTATATTAAGTGACCCCATTTAGATCA